CACGTAAAATACACTATTTCTAGCTTTGTCTTTACAAGCAGAAGTGTGGGCATTTTTAAGCTGTCAATTAATTGCAAGAGTAATTGAAGATAACAGGAGCCAACTCTCATTCTCATTTTTATCTCCTTGGCTAGCTGGGTGGAAGCCCAGCTGGTCTGACGGCGTGTTCTGGCTCCCTGCAAGAAGGGACATGGGTCCATCGATGTGTAGGTGTGGGACCACTGCTATCAAGGGAAGCTTGAGGCTCACAAGGCTGACGCTGGCTACCCAAGCAAGTGATGTCAGTAGGCCTGGATCTGTAGTGCCAACAGCTCCTCAATTTCCACACCATGTGCATTTCAAGGGATTTATTTGTTTATTTTATGTAGATGCACTCAATTGTTGATATTAACATTTCTGTCTGTGATAATTAATTTTTTGGTAAAATATAAAGATTAAAACATGCTATAAATATTTCAATGTACTGTGATGTAGATTGGAGAAATAATGAAAAAGCAATTGTTTAGTACTGTCGTCTCAGATTAGCCAGATCTAAATTGTGGATATTTTTTTTTTAAGGTAAGCAAAAAACTCTGAATACACCAAGCATTCTTTGTAATGGGAATCAAGTTGATATATAGTCAAGTTTTCTTCTGCATTGTGAATCTGTCAGTTTTTGCCCTCATGCCTTCATCCCTTTCGTAGAGGATAATCATGTGTTTTTTCCTAAATCAATTATAGTCCCTATTAAAGTCACAAATCTTTACTGGTAAGTTCATGAAACTAATTTCAGTTATGATTTTCTACTAAAGACTTGTGTATGTGTAGTTGAAACAGTTGGCATGAGTAGTGCTGAATTATGTCTGTGGCTGATGGAAATGTAAGGGCAAAACTCCAGAGCAGCTTCACTCCTAACCTTGCTATGGAACACAGGCAAGTTGTTCATCACTGGCATTCACTTCACAGGAATAGTACTTCCCTTACTTCAAAGGAACATTGTGAAGATAAATCTATAAAACAACAGTTGGTGTCCAGATATTGCATGAACAGCTCATAGACATGCGATGACCAAGGTAGTTCAAAAGGGCTGTTGACCTTTCAATAGCACAAAGTAGGCACAGTAACATCAAAGGCAGGAAGAAAAGTGCTGTAAGATGTTTAATTACCTGAAATGGTCAAGCGCATGGCGTTATCTCTTACAGAAAACAGAAATAGCTGTATGTGATTGCTGTGATGTATGGGCGACAGCTTGACTCAGGAGGAAAAAGTGTTACATACTTCATCACCAGTATCATTCTTTATGCAAGACCCTGTCTTCTTCTTTGAGGATTGCTTTCTAGGTCACACCATAATTAGTGTCTGAGTTCTGATAATTACAGTTGTGGGGGACCACATTTTAAATTCAGAAATATCTTTTAACAAGAGGCTTTCTCTGTTCCTGAGATCTTTAAGCCAGCAGTTCACTGCAATTCAGTGCTGCATGACAGCTTACATCAGATCATACAAAGGAACTGAAGCTATTTAGAAAATAATTAATGCAACCAAGTTTACAGTTGATTACATATCCCATTGGGAGCTCTACTGTTTTGCACTGTCATGTTTTCATGCTACTTGAATAAATCTGTCAATTATTCTTCTTTTCATTGAGAAATTTTCTTAATGCTATCTTCAATTACTACTTTATCCCTTTGCTGTGAGAATTTGCAGATGACAACAATGTATTTCACTGTGGAAAAAGTGCTTGATTGTGTCAACAAGACTGTAGGAGATAAAGGATTGCAAAATACTGCTATAAAATGAATATTATGGAATGCATAATTTTTTTCTTGACTATTTTTTTGCTATAGGATTTAAAATACACCAGTTCCATTGCATATGCTGAAGTGGCTCTTTAATATAGTCATGCCTGCATGATGCATATTGTTAATCTCTGCTCAGCACTTGCTTCAAGACAGCAAGATCCAGAACTAACATGTTTTGTGAGAAGACAAGGAGTGACCAGAAGCAATACTGATAAAATTATGCTGATCAGATGGGCAATTTCTTGCCTATGCTGAAGATGACAATCATTTAAACCACCTTCCTAATAAGGCATCTTTACTAGCATTGAATGTACTTAAGTAATGCAGTGATGTTTACAGAAGTGGTCAAACAGCCCTCTTAGCTTTAAAAAAGTAATTTTGAAAAGTTTAACATCTTCCAGTCACTGGAAGAACAGCAACAAAAAGAAAAGTATTAAAGCTATCAGTCAATGACAGCTCTTAAACAAGAATATTCTCTATCTTAAATACCATCTTCATTCTTTGATTTTATTCCATTCCTTTCCCCATATCTGTTCTGTGTTTGTGTGTGTGTGTTGTTACAGTGACATGGCATTTCTAGCACTTTGCTCAGTGTGTGCCTTTTCCTTCCCTTTTCCTTCACAACTGTTCCAGACTGATCGCATAAACCCAGATGACATAGATTTAGAAAACGAACCCTGGTATAGATTCTTTTCAGAACTGGAGTTTGGACGTCCGGTAAGTGAGGACAGAATATTAATATTTAAACATTAGGAAGCATAGCAAGTATATGCCAGTAGTTAATATAATTTTTTTTTAGAAAGGTTAATAAAGTAATCTCATGCATATAACTTATTTTTCAAGTGGACTCTTAACCTGGCAGAGTAGTGGCTTTAATACAGACTACATATTAGACAAATAGTAGTGTGTAATCATTTAAGAACAAGACAAATTGCATGTTAAACAGGGATGCTTACTGGTCTCCCTAAATCTTTTGTATTTGGCTGGATTCTTTTTGAACAGCCTTTCAGAACAGAAAAACATGTCAGTTTGCATTAGGGATGCTAAGTCAAAAATTTTACTTGAAGGAATGTGTCTGAATTTAAATGTATGCAGCCATATACAAATTGCTTATGGCAGTAAATGAAGAGATTTTATTTTTCCCTTTTTTTCCCCCTCTCTTACGTGCATACATGCAGAATATGTATTTTGTACCTGAACACAGAGATACGGGTTTACTCTGTTTTCAAGCTGGACACCTGCTTGAACAGACAGACTTCAGCTATGCTCCCATTTTCACAAATAGCCAGCTCCATGAAAAAATTCCAGCAAACAGATGCTCCCTTAGTCCTACTGCAAGCATTTACCTTTAAAATTATAAACCTGAAAAGCTCCATTTGGTTGAAACACCTAAACATCAGAGATAGATACTTCAGTTTTTCATCTTTGTTTGCCTCGCAGATCTGCAGGTACCCCAGGCTTAACTGGATGTGAGCACCAAATACTGTTTATATATTTTATACAAGGATAAAACAGTAGCGTTGTCCTCAAAGCAAGACTGGGTTTCAGTTCCTCCCTACACAGTGCCTTAACGTGACTAGGTTGGACATGCACCTGCTCTTGCTTTTGCACACACCCTCTCTGGCTCCATGGAGCTCAAATTCTTTCCTGTGCACTCTAACATCTTTAGGAAAAAGGATAACAAATATCTTTATCCCAGAAGAATGTGGTTAGAATACTTTCCAGACAGGTGAAAGGTGCTAGTTTGTCTCCTCGGAAAAAGGAGGGAAGTAAACCCAAGCGTTCCCTCAGTCTGCTTAAGTTTTCTCTCAGCTCCCCAAGATCCTGGACAGCTTGAAAAAAAAAGCAAAAGCACCTGCCCACAGGAAGGAAATCCCAAATAGACATGGTATTGGAGCTTGAGAGTATCAGGATTTAAAACATTGCCATTCTTACCTTTCCTGGTTAGCTAGCAATTCTCTGGAGCCCCTCTCAGCGTGCTAATTACTGACATGCCGGGCTACTTAAGGAGCCTGAGCACTTGACACAGGGCCCAGAGGGCACTCTGGGAACCGGGTGCCTGAGTCCTTTTTTGTAGCTAGCCATAAGTCAACATCAGAACTCCCAGCTACTTCAGTGAGAGAAGAAGAGAAAGCAAACCACATACATTCTTTTAAAACTTCAGGTTTTTAATCATAACATTTAAAAAAAAAATCAAATGCTACCTGAAAATAATAATAATTTTTAAAAGTTAAATATATCTAGGTTTAATTTGATCTCTAGTGGTCTATAATGTATCACATTTTCACTTATCACCTTTTACCTCCTTTTATCTAGCCATTCAAGCTGTTTTGATATTCCTCCCTATAGGTGGGCAGAAACTGTACAGATACATTTTTCTGATGAACAATATGTCAACAATATTTTACTGCTAATGATAACCTGAGAATAGTGTCTTCTCAAAGAAAAAATATATTGAGATTTCCCCAGCAGAAAATAACTGTGATGATTTACTCTCTTCTGTCTCATCAGTATTAAGAGCTGCTAGTATTGATTCAGCCATTACAGTTGTAAATTTTACTGGCTAAAGTTACTAACATTTTATTAAGACACTTATAATTTAAAAAATATTGTAACACATTCCTCCTTCCATTCTACCCGTATGTGTCACTCTTTGTATCTGACATTGTCAACACTTAGTTTCTAACTGTGTCACCTTCTCCACGTTTCATTCCTTGCTGCCATTGATTCTACTCCATTTCATCTCTGCACTTCTGCTTTTATGATGCAGCCACCTAAAAAGCTTTTGGACTATGTTCAAGACAGTTCTTCTGGTGTTTCCAATGAGGTAAATGAATGATTCTTGTTCAGATGATTCTCTTGGGAAGAAGGGTTGGAGTGCTCACCATTTATGTCTTAAGTTTGTTAAAATTTAGTGGTTTCCTTCCAATAGCTGTGAGATGTTTCTAATACACAATCATTGTATCTTTGTCTTCATATCTTTCCAGATCACTAGTGCATTTGGATGTTGATCTTATTATCCTAGGAACTGTGAGTCCTTATCCCCAAAACTTCTCAGAGATTAACACTCAGAATTACACAACAGCCCATACATCTCTAACTCTCTGACCAAATTCCCACTTCTTCAGAGTTGGGCAAGTACATTGCTTTCAGACACAATTAATACACCAGCACAGTAGTATTTTTTAATTTAAATATCTGACTGCAATTTCTATATGTCAAGTGAAAGCCTTTGTGGCTAAGCTGTCACTTCTCCAATTAAGTACTTATGACTAAGGTTGCTAATCAAGAAATACAGCAATTTATAATCCTGTTGTAAATTTATAACTGCAGGATTGACAGTCACTCTCGTTACTCCAAATGAAATGCATCAAGATCAGTCGGTTGGCTGTCATTGCCCTGCTCTGAGTGGGAGAGATTCAGGCTTCCATTCCTTCTCCCCTCCCTCCCCATTTTTAGTGCTAGGGCAGAAGTCAGTGAATCCTGCAATGGCAACTTTACGTCATACGGTGGTTTTACTTCGTTCATGTTCATGATTCACTCTCATCTTCTGTAGTCTTTCCAAAAATTAAATGCAAATTGTGGCCATAAATTGTTAATTGTTTGCAAGTTACTCTGGTTTGATTTTAAGAGCTATAAATCTGGAAAAAACTCATGATTGTGAAATTTGTGCCCAGTTCTCTGAGACAATAAGCTTCTACCTTCACTCATACTTGAGAGTACATTATACATCGGAGAAGACAATTGAAAAGCCCTAGCATGATTATTTGAAATATTAACATGTTCAGTAGGTCTGGGTAAAATTACTGTTTTAGTGATACTCATTTTCTTTTTGTTTAATTTACCAAGACATGGCTTTTATTTTGAAACTTTCAAAATCAAATATTTTTGTGGGCCAGGGGGAAATATTCCAAATAACTTGTTAAAGTATTAGAACCATCATGCAAACAAGCCTGTTTGTTGTTTACAGGTTTTGCCTACTTTTCCTAACTTCCTTTTCAATCCCCATTAAAGCCTTGAAGCATGAAAACAGCTAAATCACTGGCTTAATTGTAAATATATATCTGGTTTTTGAGTAGAACTGAATCAAAATATTCAGCAAAGTCTGTGTTTAGTAGTTGGGGGTGGTTGCCTCAAATATTTAATTATTTTTGTCAGGTAGCCTTTATCCATATAGGGCAGCGTTGAGGACTCTGAAAGATGCCTTATTAGCTTTGGAGATAGGGGAGTGGGGGAGATGTGTTCTCTTGGGCCACCTGGAAGTGGCTTGAAGGGATCATGGGTCAGTAAATGCCCCAGAGCTGATAGGACAGCCACAAACACTGGTACCCACTCTTAACAGTAAAAAACGAGGGTATTAACTGTTTGCTTTCACCTTTCCCCTGTGTGCCGTCCCTACCTGTGAGTAGAAGGTATAAACTCCACACAGCCTACATATAGTAATATATGCATGTGGTAAAAAATTAGTATTGTAGAATGTGCAACATACAGTATCTTTCTTAGAGAAAAAACTTCAAAGGTGGCATCAAAGAAAGGGCAAAAGGGCACGTTACATTCAGGGTGGTAAGAATATCTTAAAGGACAGAAAGCAAAAGCCGCATAGTAACCCAGCAGTCAGTTTTGGCATGACATGCTTTGTGCTGTCTTACACTAGTTCCTGACATGCTGTTTGTGGCCTGGGGAATGCTGTGGATAAAGAAGTTCTCTATGGTTTGGTTTCTGTTGTGAGATTTGTCCATTGCCTTCCATAGGAGGCAGTGGGGATCTACACCACCATTGGAATTGACATCATGGTCTGTATAGTCCTGGAGCCATTACAAGTGGTGGAAAGTAATCCCTGCCTCATGGCTGTTTGGCCAGTGTCATGTGACAGATGGTTTCAGTCCAGTCTCTAATGGAAAGGGTTGGCACCTGCGCAAGAAACCCCTCAATGATAATTAAACTGCAATGTTTGTGTCACCTCATGCAGCCATTCTCACAGAGAATTCTCACCTGTGAGCCCGAGTTTCCTTCCTCTGTTGGTACCAGACTGTGGTGGTGACTACTCAACAAAGATGAAGTTAATGGTTGTGGCCAGTTTTGAAACGAGACTGTCGTTTTCCAGAACAGGCTCAATGTTCTTTTTGTGGGTAGTTTAGAGAAGCACAGAGACCTGAGGCCTTTGCTTCACTGTTGTGTAGAAATGTGAGGAGAACTGTGGTTGCACTTGCTGTTGGTGTGAGCAACTCTGCTGCTGGCTTCTGTGGTTTTATTGCAGACAGACCTTATAATATTAGATAATTATCTTAGAATCATTGAAGTTGGATAGTGATGGGAGAATTGTCATAAAGTAGTTTTCAACTTTCAGAGGATGCAAAGAAAAACTTGAAAATACGAACTGTATGAACAGTAAATATTTGGGAATAAATACTACCCTCAGAATATATTTTGAAAAACAAATACCATGATAGTTTGTGTAGACAGAATAGGTTAACAGTAATGCACTCAGCATGAGCCCTATACACATTCCAAATATGGAGAAATAAAATAGGGATAATAGCAGGTTTATGGTCTTTCTGAGAATATCTGATGATTATCATCACACACCCCAGGCTCCAAAATACAGGCTTCTATTTATTTTGCCTGTGGAAAGGAAGTTTGATTCTTTACTCCCCTTCTAGTGGTTTTGTTGGTATGGTTTTGTTTCACAGTACCCCTTCTCTCTAATGTTTAAGTCCATTGACTTTATGAGCTAAGTTACAGTACTTAAAATACTTCGGTCAACAGTTATCTTTTTCTGTTCTTCACATTTGAATCCACAAATCAGCTTTTATTTTAAAGTGTCATATGTAGTTTGTTTATCACCTATGAATAATGCATGACACAAAAAAAAAATCCTTCAAATCTGTGTTTTCCTAGGAAGGTGAAACTTATTAGAAATAACTTCATATTTGTTTGCAGAAAAATAGATTGATTTTAGCAAATGTAGCAAATAAAAATCAGATGCTGTCATAAAACTTGATTGTATTCTACAGTCTTGTGTACTCTCCCCTCATGGAAAAAAGTGCATGTGGAGCACCACTGCCCAGAAAGCCACCTGGGGAAGGGATGCATCATTGTATGAGTGAGGCAAAACTTCACTGATGGAAACACCTAGCATGGGGAGAAGCTGGGCACATGACCAGTAATGTTGGTAGTCTTCTTCCAACAGACTTGCTACAGCAGATCTGCCCAACTGAGAGCCATCCTCCTGCCATCACTGACACACTTCCCTGTTCCTTGAGAACATGGGCTACCTCCCACTACCTCACCTTGTTCCTCTTGGTAACAGCTTAATCCCAGATTGTGTGAAGATCTCTCATACACAGGCTGCTAATTGCAGATCAGTGTTGCTTGAGAACATTTACAAAGAATAAACACAGTAGTAATTCCTAGCAGGTGGACTTATTGCCATTGATGACTTTTTTAATGCCACATTCTCCTTCCTACAGTGCACACGCTGTGGGCTGGATGCATGTCATTCTCTACTGTAAATGAGATGCAGATGAATAGAGGAGAACATGTCTCCTCTAATGTTTCTGGAGGTTGTATTGGATGTGCTGAAAAAGACTGCATGACAAGTAGCCCTTTTTCTTTGTTTGTTTGGTTTTTTAGTGTAGCACTAAAGTAATTCTTGTAGCTTTTATTTCTAGTTCCCCTCTTTCATCCATAGTATAAGTCACTGGAGCAGCATTGTATGTTGCCAGATCTTGAGCACCAGTTTCCACAACCTGAAAATCCATTATATACTGTACAATAGTGGAAGGACAAGGATGAGAAAAAGAGGAAATATATTATTTTGGTTTCCTATTTTATTACAAAAACAAAATATTTGTCATACAGAACAAGGTAGTGCATTAAAATAGAATCACATTTGTTGTTTGGAAGCCATTTCAGAGGTTTTGGGCTAATTGAGCTCTGACAGGAACAATTTAACAGTATCCATCAGGTAAGAATTGCAGCAGCACCATAAAAATTGCCTCAGCTTTGCCTCTAATGTGGTGACAGAATATTAAATAGAGACTTTAAAATCTCGCAAAGATGCACCACTTCTAGAGCACACAACTCTTAGTTAGACCTGAGTCTTGCATTGCTTCCATTCTGAGCAGATGCGGACTAGCAAGTTTAAACACGCAAATTACTAAAACAATGCAGTGATCCAATTGTCATAGGTTATTGATTTAGTCCTGTAGTCTATTTCATTTCAAAATAAATTGGAAAATAACAGACATGCAGTTATAACTGAAACCTTGGGTTTCCTTTCTTAGACGTTTTCTTGCTTTGAGATTTCCTCCCCAGTGAAATGCACATGAGTCTGTGGGATGAAAACATGCCATGTTGAACTGTCCATGATTACCAAGGATTAAAATAGGCCAGAAACTAAATTCCTTCAATTACAGGCCAGTTCCTGTGCTTTCTGTTGATGAAACATCAGAGTTGCTGATGCCAATATTATAACCCAATGTTGTTTTCAAAATCTGTTGCCTTCAAAATTTCTGTTGAAATCAAGAGGAGCAAGAGCTGTGCACAAACATTACTAATAGGATACAGCTCATATTCATAATGCTTAATCTAATAGAAATCCATGTTAGTTTTGCCACAGTGTTTTACAAGTTAAACCAAATATGGCTTAAGAGAAGTATTGGGATTCTGCCATTTCTGGTGCTCAGGTTTGTGTTGCTGGTTTTTGCAGTGAACATATTCTTTATAGATTACTTAACCTTAATTTGTAATCTCACTTCAGGAGGACTATACAGCAAGTGATTTGGATCCAAACTGAAGATTATGAACATAACAGTATTTAACAGTGAGAATAATGGTAGTAGTAACACAGAAGAAATACTTGAATACTTGTCCACAAAGCAAAGAAATTTCTGTTTAGAAAAAATAAACATTATGAAACCCTATGCAGAGATCACCTTAAATAAGTTACAGAGGACTTATTTTCTCTAGAAAGTAACTTCGAAGTTTTTGAATTATTAACAGCTTTTAACTGTTTACATCTCAGCTGCCATTCTTACCAAAAACCTGAAAGTTTTTACTTTATTTTTAATGTGATTTACATTAAACTACAGTTAAAAATTGCTGAGAAAATCAGAATTATCTTAGCTTAAGTTTTAGATAACACTTGATCCATATTGTATAATGTTTGTGTCGTTCTCCCTGCCTCACACAGTATAATAAATTCCAGTATAATCCAGAAATCAAAACTTCAGTTAGTGTCGTGATGGGATCACTTGGTATGTGATGCAGGTCTTAAATAACGAAGCCTGCTGACAAATGAGCTCTAACTGAACAATCATGTTGTCTTTATAGTGCCCCACCTGTAAAAGTAGTTTCAACAGTTACCCTAGAACGTCATTCAAAGTATGCAGTCTCGTGAAATCTGTTCCTAAATATTCTTAGACTGCAGGTGCCTTCCAGAAGTACACATGTGTCAGTTTATAAATCTGGGTGGAGTCCTATTCATGAACTTAGAATTCAAATCACTGAGAAAAACAATACCTAACAGAAAACGCTCTTACACAGGCCTTAGTGCTATTATTTCTGCAGTCCTTCTGTACAGAGAAAAGTCTGTAAAGATTTTTCCATGCAGAGGAAAAGTCTAGGAGGCTTCTGTAGAGAGAAAACGAGTTCCTGCATCTTACAAAGCTGTACAGTAGTTCTATTTCCAGTCCATCAGGTTGGCTCTGAAAGTGCATGCCAGGAACTTAAAACAAGTTTAATTTTTGATCTGCACTGCTTTGTACCCATGAAATACCCCAGGAACCATGCAGTTCATTCTAGATTCATACCTAGTTACCAGAATTGTGGTATTACCTAATTCTCACTGCAGGCTTAAAACATACAAAATGATTGATTTGTAGTTAGTGGTCATTTAAGGCTAACTCTGTATTAGTAGTAAAATTATGGAGCAGTACTCCATTCCATCTTCCAGGGTTCGTGCAGTAGCAACTACTGTAAATCTATAAGCAACAACTAATATTCCATGTTAAGAACTGTTCTTACCAGGAATATAAGGTGGTCAACAACTGGCCACAAACATCATGGGATTTACAAAAGTTTCTGGCTATAATTGATTGTGGGATTTGGGTGAGTAACTGGTGGGGAGGAAAAGCTCTGCAGACCTCAATTGTGCATCAAGAAATTGTTTTCAGATTTTTAGGTTTTTATAGTAAAAGTTTGTTTCAGCTGTTCTGTATCTATTTTTGAAAAAGGTATAGAGAAGCATGACTTTGGATCATTTTTTAGTAGTGATTTAAAAGAAAAAACATTACTGAAGTAGAATATGGAATGAAATCTAGTGATGCTTTTTAAAAACTGCTGAACTATTCTCATGAAATATCACGGTGTCTATGTTGGAGTGCTCAGGGTGTTAATCATAGTCTATTTTTGTAGGATTTGTCATAGAGTAACAGTCATAATCAAACACTATAAGCAGAAATTGTCACCCTTTTTCAAATACAGACATGTAAGAGATTCATATATTTCTTTTCACAGACTTCCTTATATCATCACTATTCAACAGACAGAGGCCTGGACAGGCCCTCTAGGTAAGAAATACAATGTGTGATTTCAGATTATATAACCTGGGGGTTTTCCCTGTGACCTGAAGCCGGCAGATGTTACAAAGAGTCAGATTTTAACACTCTGTGAGCTGCTGACAAAATAGGGAGATGCATGGATGTTTGTATTTTGATACTGAAGGGTAAATCTTAGTTTTGTTTTACAAGGACTTAGTGTTTACATTCAAAATAAACCATACTGTATTCTGGGTCTTTCCACTAACACCCCTGAGCTTCTGTCTAAACAGCAGCGATCTATCATTGACCCTTCCTGCCTGCAGCACTTTCAGTGCTGTTTCCCTAAGCGTGCTGTCTCGTCTCTGTCATTTTCCTATCTTTGTGCTGAACTTCTAGTACCAAAAAATAGTCTAAAAAATCTTGATGCATTTATTTCAAAGCCTTCAGTATGAAAATGGCATAGCAGTTTTGTACAAAACTTTAAAACATTCAGGTGAAGAAGAAATTCAGTTTTTCTTAATGAAATATACTGTAAGATCTGTGAGACCAGTGCTTCTCCCCTTCACGTGATTTTGATATATTTGTTCTGGTATTGTTTAATCTATAAGGCAATAATGTAATTATGAGATTACTTTTTAAATTCTGATCTCGGAATTAGACTGCTGCTAATGCTGCTTATTTCTGTAGCTCTGCAAGCACTGCAAGTGACTACAGAAAAAGGAGGAAGTCAGAACCTGCTGTAAGTCATCAGAGGGCGCACAGTGATCAGAATGCAACCAAGCCTAACCTGGGCCGGACAGATACGCAAGGCTCATATACCACCCTTAGAAAGCCTTTAACTAGCTCATCTCCTTCTTCTCCATCAAGAGCAAAAGGTAAGAGGAGAGCTTATTTGTTAGCAGAAAACTACTGATTATGTGTTATACAATACGTGCTGTGGTAGAGAGGGCAACTGCCTGCTCAGTGCCCTTCCCTGAGAGATTCACTGTATGAAGCAGCAGCTTTGGGCCTTTCATGCAAGGCTAACTTGTTTATTCTTCTTAAACTGAAAAGCTGGATTTGTAACAAGGATTTTCCAGTTTCAACTGCTTATTCTAACAAAAGAAAATTGACTAAATAAAGAGTAGGATACCACAATATATAAACCCATAAAGTTTTATTAACTCCACTACACTCTTACTAGATTGTTGTGATTTTAAAACTGTTTTCAGTATATACAGAAAGTAAATCAAGACAAATAGCATATAAGATTAAAGATGCGTTTCCAAGATACAGAAGTTTTACAACTTTTGAAAGTTGTTTTCGAAGTTTTACCTTTGAAATCTATAGCTGATGTCTTAGATATTGTCAGTTATCAGGACCTAATTTAATCAAGCGAACATCCATAGTCTGATTTTTGATTTTGTAAACCCTTGAAGTGTTTACCACAGCAATACAATCTACTTAGCTTCGTTTTCCAAGTAACTAACCACTCCATTACTGTTCTCCATGGCTCTCCAGAAAAGAGATAATTGAATCAGTTGTTGATCTGGGGTTTTGGGTGGAGTTTTTTTTAGCAAGATAAAAACAAAAAAAACCATATGATAGAAGTAATAGAGAGTAATATCGTGTACAATATGTCTCCTTCTGTTTAAGTTATTATTCATTTAATTGCCGTATTTTGTAGCTATACTTTCTAATCAGCCTGTAGCTGTATTAGGGACTATATAAACCTTTATAAAAGTAAATTCCCACTGAAAAGAATGTAATATATAGGCCGGAACATAATGTATCAGATAAAGAAAAGCAGTGAGGAATATTAAGATTGAAGAGATGGAAAAGCAAATATAATTTAAATCCAATGTTATAGCAGTAATTTAAAAAGTGGGTAAAGTAATCCATTTGGTGTACCAGGCTAGGCAGTGAAAAGTCGGTAAACTCCGTTTCCCTGCATTTGCCTTTGACTACACTGCTGATAATGAGCACTTACTATGACTTAAAACACTTACTGTGTTTGAAAATCCTTCCCTTAAGAACATCTACTACAGCTAATTAACTTTCAGAACGTGACCTAGCTGTGTCACTCCATTCTCTCCCAGCGTTATGAAACCTACTAGAATGTCAATTTTTCTTGGAATTAACCATTTTGTTGAAGAAGCAGGACATTATAAGCTGTTTGATCAGCATGGATTTTGAACTGAAGTGTTTCAGTTTCTGAACCAGATTCAAGCTCTTCTTCTAGAAAGCAGATTGATCTGTTTGAAGCACATGTCCTGAACTTAATGTAGCCACTTGAGACCATTTTTGAAAGTTCAGTGCAAGTATGAGAGACCACAGTTCCAAATTTGTCTCATAGGGAATTCTAGATCTAGCATGGGCATAGAAATATGTATTAAAACTTGCTTGAAAACTCCGGCTTTGTTACGGAAGTCAAGCTAAGGGTTATTTTTTCTTCTACATGCTGGTTAGGTTCAGTAAACTGATACGTATTTCTTTATACCTGTATAGCAGTCTCTCAGGTGCCTTGTTCTGCCCTCAATAAGCTGTAGAAAATGCCACTCCCTTCAGTG